ATATTTTTAGTCCTTGGTAGTCCTATGTGAAGTTGAGTTTAAATTTTGGATTTAAAATTTAAACTTAGATATGAAAATTTGGAGCAATTATGATTGTGGATAAAACCGATTTAAAAAGATAGAGCTTAACTGGAAACTCAAGCCACAACCTATATAAAGAGGCCTTATGCCCCACACTTAACACTCCCACTTCTTTACACACATTTTTCCTCTTCTTAGCTCTACCCAAACTCATATTTAAGAGTCATTGGAGACCATTAGCAAGGACAACAAGCTTCCCCTTGGAGTCCAAGCAAGTGATTGAACGCCCCTTCGGAGAACGAGAACTCTCTTCGTCTTCTACCTTTTTGAGTTTCTTTGGTTTGAGTTTTTCTTTGTGGTTATGGGTTTATTTATCATGTTCTTCGTAGTTTATTTTGTTATGAGTAACTAAACTCATAGCTAGAGCTATGGCGGATCCTACTACAAACTTTATATGATTTTTACTTTGATGTTGATATTGGTTTTCCTTTAATGTTTGGTTTTATTCTATTGGATTATATTATATATGTTAAGATTTGATCACCCTTAGCATCCCATAGTTAGTTACATTGTAGGCGATCGTACCACGTGTAATTAACGAAACTATAGGATAAAATGAGATAAGGGGCTAGGTTAATCACACTTAATTCCTTTCTTTCAGCCATTATTGAATTAACAAACTCATAGGATCTTCATGCTTTTTCAACCAATTATCTTGCATGATCATTAGGGGTGTTTGCTCAGGAAAAAGAATATTGACATTGCATAATCATTGGGTGTTAATAGAACTAATTATGAGTGGTTGGCAAATATTTGAATACCAATATTAGGATTAAATTAATTAGAACATAAAAAAGTGTAGTAAGTGAACCCATAAGTCCTTGGCTCATCTCATCTGATCTCTCTCATACATTCTATTATTATTTTTTTAATTTATTGTTAAAATTAAGCTCTGTTTTTTATCCGTTATAATCCCATTACTTTTAAACAATCAAATTAAGTTATTCTTGGTGCTTGAAAATAATCTCTACGGGACGATAACTTGGAAACTCTTAATTCAAAAATCCTTTATTACTTTTTGATAGGTACAGTTGCCTATGAACACTATTCTTACTGATTAAATTGCCTCCAAGACCGTTTAGAAGCTAGATTGAAGGTTGAAATCATGTTTGGGGCGTTTAGAAGTAAGTTTTAATGGTTAGAGTTTTGGTTTCTTATCCTCATTCTCTGTTTTCTCGGTTTCCCTTAGTCCTCATGGGATTCTTCCACGTATTTAGGACAAAATTCGTGTGGGGAGCACCTTCTTTGTTGATTCTGTGTGTGGGTCTTCAGTCCAAGGTACGGGGGACTCTACCCTATCTCTCATGTCTTTAAATCTGTTATTTTGCTATGTATTGTAATGTGGATGGTTTGGAATGTGATTATTTTAATGGGATTGATTGATTATAGTGAGATTGTGGTGAAAAGATTGTGTACGTTATAATGTGCATAATGGAATAAATTGCTGGATATGGATTGTGTTGGAAATGTTGTGTATGGAATGTAAAGTGAGTGAACATGGGCATATATGCTGTGAGTGAATGTGAATACTAATTGTGATTGAAAATGTGGCTGAAATGTGTGTAAATAGCATGTTAAATGCGATTGTGAATATGTTGGAAGTTATGAATGATTCAGTGATACACTAAGGTGTGGAAGATGGAGGCAGTAGAAATACATTGGAGAAGAGAGGGTGGTGGTGACACCAACAGTGAGCGTGGGTGCACTACAAGCCATACATTCTCCTCCTAACTCAGCCTCTAACTAACACCTTTACTAATAGGCTCATAACCACACACGTTGTATCTATGAGGCAGGGGCTAATTGGCGACTATCCATGGTGTGAAACTATGATCATTGTGTCATAGTAAGCGTGGCTACGTGCAGTGAGCGCACTTGTGTGTAAAATATTGTTGATGCAGTGAGTGCATCGGTTGTGAATTGAAATGGAATGTTTGAAAAGTGTTGTTTATAATTTATTACACTTTAGTAAAATATGTTAGAAAGCCTGTGGAGTGTACAAGGTGAGTCTCTATGTTTGTGTGTGTTGGATAGTGTAGAGTACTCACCCTTATATTTATTTTTCAGGTGACCAGGACGATTAGCACCGGACTCAGTGAAGGAATGGATGATACGGCTATAGGACTTAGATTATTTATTTTGAAAATACGATGTAATTGAATTGGTCCTGTAGTAGTAATTGATATGAACTTGTAATCTCTTATTATTTTGAAACCCTTGAATGAAACTATGTTGGGAAATTATATTTAAACAAAAATTTTATTATTCCCATTTTTGTGAAATTTATTATTTTGAGATTAAATTTAAGGTGTTACAATTAGTGTATTTTATATTAGGATTTTTACTATTTATTACAATAAATTATAACAATTATAGTTTTAGACAAGTAAACATTTAGACTATAACTTGGTGAGTTAGATAAATTTAAATTTAGTGAGTATGAATTATATTTCAAAATTTTAATTGTAGATTCGTATTGTAGTAATTTATTTATTTATTTTAATGGACTTCATATATTTAGATAATGTTAATTAAATCTACCTTTTATGTCAAATGTTGATGTTATGGCTTGCTACATTCAACCACTAGATCACGTTGCCTAAATGTCGATTGAAGTTGAACCTTTCCTTCTACTAAAGTTTATTTAAGTTTATTTTCCCTCTACACTAAAGTCAATTCAAGTCAATTTTTTCTTTATACTGAAGTCGATTCAAGTTGACTTGTCCTCTACACTGAAGTCGATTCAAATCGACTTCTTTCTACACTTAAGTCAAATTAAATCGACTTTTACATAGCAAAAAAAGCAACCACAATTGATTAAAATTGACTTTTGTAAAAATAAATATGACGCAATACATAACAAACTAAAATCGGGTTAAATTGTTTTTTATCTTAAAAAAAATTAATTTAAATTATTTTCTATTTTAAAAAAATTAATTCTAATTGTCTTCTTTTAAATGCTAAATAGAGCATTTGTATAATTCTTTTTATTATAAGATATTTATGTAATTTTAATTTGATTTTATTTTATTATGGTAATAAAGCTATTATTTACTATCATATTTTATTTTAGAAGGACTTTAATATATTTTATTTTAATATTTTATATTATATATTTAAAACACTTTAATATTTCTATAATGTCATAGTTACACACTAACAATGTGAAGAACTCTGAATGATTTATGACGTATATCTCATTCCTTTTCACTTAACTGAATAGTTAATTAGCAAATTCGTTATTAATGCCATATAAAATTGGAGAAATAATGGGTAAATAATAGGAGATTAGGATTTATTTTTGTTCCTTCTGGTAGCAGACTAAGATTTTCTATATTCAACATAGAGGCTAATAATTCAAGGTTACCGATCAGCCCAATAAAGAACTTGCTTACATTGAAAATGTAGCCCAATACAATCAATTGACGATACTTTCTTAAGTCCAGTTTACAGTTGCTAAGGATCATAAATTCATAATCCCCTACTTTGGACCCAAAAAGAATCCCCTACTATATACGATGTTTGACAAAGTATACACAAATCTTTGTTGACAAAAAAAAAGTTTATACAAATCTTTTAAAATTATTTTAGGTGTTTCTAAAACTAGTAAAAAAAATGGTATTATAAATGTAATTGAATATTCAAACACTATAAATTCATTTGTTTTACATTATAACATCCCATACTTTGTACCTAACTTCCATTGCATTTTTCTGTTCTTTCTTTAATTTATTTGTTTATATTTAGGTCATACTAACTATAGTCCTGAAGATAATAAGGATCATTAAAAAGGGGGGAAAATCGAGACGACTTTTATCAAAATGTGTAATATATATTACACACGCACATGAAACCTTTCTTGAATTGTTGATTTTAGGAACGATTGCAGGTATAAGTTAATGAGATCTTTCAATTTCAAGCATAACCTGAGCTGCTCATGACAAGTTGTAACTCCCATTAATTAAGAATGTGCCTGGATAAATAATTTAATTAAAAAACTATTCATTTTCTTATTAAGAAGAAGTTGTATTATTAATTTTATTAAAAATATTTAAAAATCTCAACTATTCTCCTTTCCCATCAAATAGCAATTATTTACCGTTGGAAATGGACCCTTCAGATTCAACGGAACTATCACAATGTACCCGAATGGAATTACACAATAAATAAAAAAAATAAAGCTTGCATCTATTCAAAAGGTGAAAAGAAGAAGAAGAATAATTCAGATATGCCTAATCAACTGCCATTTGTAGCTAAACACAGTAATCTTTTTCCCCTGATAAATACGTGATATTCGCTCCTAATTCAGTAACTTCTCTCAAAAGAGGATTAGTTTGGCTTTCTTTTACTTGGTAATTGCATGACAAAGGCCTTGTCGTTTTTATAACAGATTTATAAATATAAATTAAAAATTATTGTATTATATTAAATTGAAGTTATCAATGCAGCTGATATTATTATTATTATTATCTTCAAATAAGTTATCAATCTGTGTCGATTATCCTTGCTCGCGGCGTCATGAAAATCAACGATGTATATATATGGACTATTAATTTAAAAAATAATTTTTGTTTCGCATTGTTTTTTCCTTCCTTTGTAAAACAGCATTTGGAGAGCAGCAAAATTTGAAGATTAGAATTTAGAATATCCCAATAATACATGAAAGATTGCGAAGAATGGGATTTAGATAAAAAAAATTTATCGAGGAGGACGAAGCAGAGATGTAGCGTTTACATGGTAATATTCTCTCCAATCTCACCCAAACCAAAATGTTAAGGTTTATACAAAATAGTATATCTAGCACAGTTAAAATTTATTATGAAAAAAACTTCTTAACGAATATTTTAAAAACACTAATTAAAGAATCGACAATAAAAAATAAAAATTGAAGTATTTAAAAAAATTCTTCAGCCTGAATTTTGGTTTATCCATCTAGGAAAACTAAACTGCATGCAATTATAATCCAATGATGATTACTTTATACCAATAGTTTTAAAATTAAGTTTTGAGCTCTAGAGGATCTTGATCCATCTAATAATAATAAACAATGTTTCAACTGGTTTCTTTGAAAGCCAAACCGTTCTGTTGCTCATCGTGGCTGAGAGAGTTAAGAGCGAATAGCAAATAAGTGACTGTACTCTCGACAACAACCATCTTTCATAGTTTTTGCCACCAAAAGTGGTGATTAATTGTTACAACAACATCACAGCTGAAAAGAGATCAATCATAGACAGCAATCATGTCCGTTACCGTTTCAGTTGCCGCCGCCACTTCGTCCGGCGTGGGCTCCTTTTCTCCCCGATCGTGGCGATGGCGGGTGACGATGTCCCTCCGATCTGACGCCGTGTCCGTTTCTCCAACCAAAATGTTGACCAAACTGAAGCACGAGTGTGCAACTCCTCTGCCCCTTCTTCAGCAAGTGGCCAACGCCATGTCTGCCGATATGCGAGCTGGGCTTGCCGCCGAGGGAGGGTCTGGGCCTGGGCTTCCCATGATACCCACCTATGTTGAAGAGCTTCCCACAGGGTATGTTTCATATAATGTATTGTCCCCTTCCCAACTTGCCTTGTTCCACACATGAAATGATTTCTTGTGCTGACGTGTCAGAAATGAGAAAGGGTTGTTTTATGCTTTGGATCTCGGTGGAACTAACTTCCGCGTGCTGAGGGTGCAATTGGGTGGCAAAGATGAGCGCGTGATTGCCACTGAGTTCGACCAAGTTTCCATACCTAACGACCTTATGTTTGCTACATCCGAGGTTTGCATATTTCTTAATTATGTTTGCATATTGATTTAATTGAGTTGAGATGAACATGTTGGTGTGTGCTGCAGGAGCTGTTTGACTTCATTGCTTCTGGGCTAGCAAAATTTGGGTCTAAGGAGGATGGTAGATTTCGTGTATCTCCCGGAAGAAAGAGGGAGATTGGGTTCACATTTTCATTTCCTGTGATGCAGACATCTATACATTCTGGCATACTAACCAAGTGGACTAAAGGTTTCGCAGTCACTGGGGCTGTATGTATTTCTATACCTCTCTTTGTACAATAAGTGCCACTTAGTATTATTTCATTTCTGTTTAACTGATCAATGTTGTCATTTAATAATAATAGTCTATATATTTGATGTCACATATAGAAGCTTTTGAAATTGTTTACTCCCGGCGCGATATTAGCCATTTAGTCTTCTGCAGTTGGATTCTTGTTGCACAGTTTATAAAGAAAAATTCTATTCTTACTCGTGTTCCGTTTTTTTTTAACAAATTTTTCTCTGACTAGGAGAGAGATAGGAGGAAGACATCAAAGAGAAGCGTGAGATAAAATGAGTAATGTGATTCAAAGAGATAAAGAGAAAAAATGATTTGTAAGAGTGGACTATGTTGTAAGAATAAACTCCTTTATAAATACAACTTGAACTTTAGCATAAAGTAGGGCAGGGCTATGCATTGTCCTTGTTTGAAGCCCAAAAAATTGTGCCATTAGGCCTATATATGTAAGTTGACCCCGAGGCCTAAGTGATAATACGGCAGAAAAAGAACACCTGACTGACCCTTCATTTAGCCTCAATTGATGAAGTACCTTGCTTTCTGCTGGGGTGCTATTATTGGGTTCAATGCGTACTATTGTAACGTTCTGAAATTTGTGCGATGTGTTGGGCTTATTTGCACCTAGTGGTGTTGTTAGGATAAACAATACAACACAACAATATGCCTTATCTCACTAGGTGATGCTAGGATAAACAGTACAGATAGAATTCATGCTCTATCACTCTTTATCAGGGAATCTCTAATACCCTACATGGTATTAGAGCTTTATCTATCCATGGCATCTCAATCCACTGTACAAATATCATTTACTGCTGGAGTTTTATATTTTGGTATAGTTAAATAGTAGCAGAAATACATCAACCCAAAACTAGCATGACGGGGAACTTCAAACCCTTTACACAGGTAGGAAGAGATGTGGTTGCTTGTTTGAATGAGGCTATGGGAAGGCAAGGACTAGATATGCGAGTTTCTGCTCTGGTATTTTACTTTAAAGTTATACTTTTATATAAGTTTTAAAAACCAACACGATGGTAGTATAATTCTAGTAAATGCCTACCTAATAGGTGAACGATGCTGTGGGAACATTAGCCGGAGCAGAATACTGGGACAATGATGTCATGGTTGCTGTCATTTTAGGTACTGGAACCAATGCTTGCTATGTTGAGCAGATGAGTGCCATTCCTAAGTTACATGGTCATGTCTCTTCTGGGAAAATGGTTAGTAAAGAGTGGCATTTACTGGAACCAATGTTGTGACTTGCTTGAATGCTACATTTGATTTAGATCATCTTAATCTGATCAGAAAAGCATTCCTTGATTCAGATCATTAGTACTGAGTGGGGAGCTTTCTCAAATGATCTCCCATTATCCGAATTTGACAGGGAAATGGATGCTGCTAGTATCAATCCTGGTGAACAGGTAAATTTTAATACTATTTTATCTATAATTTAGTTGTTCTCAATAGTAGCAAGCAGAAAAGCCAATCTCTTTCTTTATTGGACAGATCTTTGAAAAGACTATCTCAGGAATGTATCTTGGCGAAATTGTGAGACGAGTGCTACTGAAAATGGCTGAAGAGGGTGGTTTGTTTGGAAAATCTGTCCCACAAAAATTGTCCACACCTTTCATACTCGGGTAAATTTTGATTCTCAGTTAAAACCTACAGCTAAAATCATGTGTTAGTAGATATGTAAAGAACTCCCATTGCTAGAAAAATTTGGTAATATAACAATTTTTTTAACCAATTTTCTTTTCTCCCTAGTATTATTTTTCCCCTTCTTTTGAAAGTTAAAAATATATCTTTCTACTCATTTTATTGTCTTATAGACATCACATTTGGTAGGGTAATATCTTCAACTTCTATCTTTTGAGCTTTATTCATACTGAAATGTCTTCAAATAAATTTAATAGGACCCCAGATCTATGTGCCATGCAACAGGACAGTTCTGACGATTTACATACAGTTGGATCTCTCCTCTATGATAAAGCAGGGGTAAACTTCTTGTCCTAAACTAGGTTAATATGTTCTGCCCCGAGAAATAGGATGCGGTAACATCAAGTTTAAGTATCTGGTTATTTCAGTATAGTAATTTCCAAGGCCAAAAGAAAGAAATAGTAATTTCCCAAGAAAACTATTGTTTGATCAAGTACCATTTGATTATTTTATATTGCTAATAGGAAACTCATTCTTTCCACAGTAAATTTTTCAAATTAATTCTTCTAAATATAAACGACAATAATAACCTAATTTCATTAAGGTCTGCAACGTAGATCACATGACATCATTAGGCTTGGTCAGATAAAGGAATGAAATGACGGCTATGAAATTATTTAAAAGCTTAAGTAGAAGGGGAAAAAAAATGAGATGGTTAGGGAATGTAGTTTACTTTGTTGGAACAAAAGCAGAATCTGTGAAACAAGATGATGCTTGTGAATCAGATTTTCATGTGGAGTTATGATATTAATATGTCAAACATGAGCCATGTGAACTATCGTATCTGCTTAAAAATTCATATATCACTACTTAATTTTCATTTTCTGTTTTCTTGCCATTATCTGGGCCTCTTCAGGTTGAATCCAATGTAAGTGAAAGAAAAACAGTTTTAGAGGTTTGTGACACTATTGTAAAGCGAGGTGGGTGCCTAGCTGGTGCAGGAATTGTGGGGATTCTGCAAAAAATGGAAGAGGACTCCAAAGGCCTCATCTTTGGGAACAGAACTGTTGTTGCCGTAGATGGAGGCTTATATGAAAATTATCCTCAATACAGAGCTTACTTACAATATTCTGTCAAGGAGCTGCTAGGAACGGAAAAGTCCAACAATGTGGTAATAGAGCATACAAAAGATGGATCTGGCATAGGAGCTGCTCTATTGGCAGCTTCAAACTCCATGTACAAGCAAGACTTTTAAGACATTTACCATCATCATGTAAAAAATCTAAGTAGTTCAAGTAGTAATTAATTATTGGAACCCCTTGATTAAGCATTGGGTTAATAATAAGAAATTGAAGTAAGAATCCTAGTATAAAATGTTTTCTTTTGCTACATATAGAAGGTGTATGGGAGAGGAAAAGGTGACTTAAAAGAGGTTGATCTTCTTCTTAACTGTAGTTTTGAAATTTGAATTTAATGTAAATTATTCGAGTCTCTTTAGTTCTTACTAGCTTCAAAGGAGAACTCTTTTAGTTCTGTTTACGGTAAAAAATGACAATTCTGTAAACAAATAATTCAAGAGCAATCTGGGAACTGAATTAGGTCCTCTTTGGGTTATTTTAAGTGTGTTGTTAACGTAACAGTAAAATGGACGTTTCAGAATAAATAATTTAGCAAGAATAGTGAATATAAAACGCGTAAAACTGAATCACAATGTAGAGGTTTTTTATAGAAAAGACCTAAATAGGAAACAAATTGCAGAAACAAGAACTAAATTGCGGACAAGGAAATAAGCAAAAGGAACATAAATTAAAATGCGGAAGGTTAAATGTGCATGAATGTAAATATGCGGGAATGTAAACATACGACTCCTCACAACAGCGAACAGCGGCCACCGTGAGTCTCCTGGTGACTGATGTTTGGCGCGGTGCAGGGTTTTAGCATTTCAGAGATTTTAGGTGCGGTGTCAAGGTGCAAAAAGTTATCCTCTGTGAAATGACGCTTTGGAGTATTTATAGGCAGGAGGACCACCACTGTTCTCCTCCTTTTGCGGGCACTTCTTAATAACTACCTTCAACTGTTGATGCCTATTATCTACGATTGCTTGTGATCGTGAAGTTGGTTTAGACTTCTTTCGTAACCGCTATCGCCCACGATCTCCTTTGCCTAATAGTAAATGTTGATGACTGCTGGTAACCGCTTTTGGATTTTGCAATGACTTGACCTATCAAGACTTTTGTTTTTCTATTTTTCAAGTATTTCTGGAAGAAATCTAAAAGGCTCATTTAGTGTTATGACCTTAGAATAATTTCTCCTTGATTTCTTTTTTCGACTAATTCTGGAGTTCAAAAGCTTGTCTTGGTCTCATGGACTTAGAATATTTTCTTTGCTCATTCCTGTTTTTTGAGCAATTCTGGAAGGACTCTAGAGCTCAACTAGGTTGGCGGACTTAGAATATTTTCTGACCACTTCCTGTTTTTCGAGCAATTCTGGAAGGAATCTGGAACTTAATCAGGTTGGTGGACTTAGAATATTTTTTGACCACTTCTTATTTTTTGAGCATTTTTGGGGTGTCAGGGACTTGGAAGACTTGAAAACTCCTCGAAAAAGCCATCAGTTTTGTGGACTTAGAATATTTTTTTGTCAGTCCTATTTTTTGAGTAGTTTTGGGTGTCAGTGACTTGGAAACTCCTTGAAAAATCCTTTAGTTTTGTGGACTTAGAATATTTTCATGTCAGTCCTATTTTTCGAGCAGTTTTAAAGAAAAATCAACGAGGTGACAAAAACCTCTAAAATAGCTCGAAATGCGTCCTTTTTCATATGAAACTAAAAGGTCTTGGACAACTTTCCAATACTTCTTAAGTTTAGACCTATTTTTAGGCTCCTTCCTGACCCTCAAGATTTTGTCGAAATGTAGCTTCCTTCAACATGATTTTTAACTTAAAAAATTTTCCTTACCCCAAACAGATGCCTCCCAAAATATTAATATCTCAGGTTTATGAGATTTTAATATTTTTATTATTTTCATTTTCTTCTTCATCCAGAACTCCTTCTAAATCTCATTCAGAAGTTTCCAGGCCCACTGAATCCACTGAGAAACTACTCCAGGAACTAAGATCTTTCGTTTTCGAGTCACCTATGATGAAGAATCTTCCGACTGATAAAGATTTGGTCGACAAGATCAAAGACCTACTTTCTTCGTTGAATAGCCAAATCTCTCATTTTCCCGAGGGTCTTCTACTTTTTGAGACCCTTTTTGTTGATTCTTTAGCTATCATAGACCAAATTTCAGTAGTTGGTGCTGAACATGATCGAGCCCAAGCTGCCAAGGACGCAACTGTAGAGAAGTTGAAAGAAACTCAGACTGGCTGAGCGAACTTAAAAAATCAACAACCAATGCTGATTTAAAGCGAAAAAATTTCAAGGCCAGAATGGTTGAATTGGAGAAAGAGCTCGAACGACTCCGAAAAGAGGACTCAACGCTGGAAAAAGCCAGTGAGGCTTGTGAGAAAAAGAGGCAAGTTCTTATTGAAAATGTGAAGACTATCACGATCGAAAGAGCTCGGACCATGGAGAACATTTTGAGTTTGGACGCAAAATGTACGGCTCTCGAAACTAGATATCAGAATTTGAGGGCCATTTTTATTGAGATGCGCTTGAAACCTCCTTTTTGAGTTTTCATGTATTTTAGTTTGAATAGTTAGGCCTTTTTGTACATACTCGAATTCTACTTCGAATGAAATTTATTCATTTAGCCTTTCATTGCTCGAATTAGCCTTTTATTTGCCTTGACTCAAGTTATTTTCACTTCATATGTTTCTGGTTTGTATGGTTTTAAGTATTTACCGTTAACCGACATGATTTGACTATTAGTTCCAAGTTCTCAAATTAAATACGCGTTATTTGAAAACACATTTTCAATCTCAAAAGGGCTTTCCCAATTGGCCGACCATTTTTCAAATTTTTTTGATTTTTTGTCGAACAGTAAAATTACTTTCTACACTAATTCACCATCATTAAAAAACTTGCCTCGTACCTTTCTGTTGTATGACCTCGAAATTCTTTCTTTTTGTCGAATCTTTTTTTCTAAGGCACTTAAACGAATTTCATCTAAGGCATTTAATTCATCGAACATTAAGGCCCAATAATCTTCACTTGGTAGCTCGAACTGCCGTTGTAATCTAACTGATTGTAGATTCACCTCAACAGGTAAAATAGCTTTATGGCCATAAACAAGTCGAAATGGAATTGTCCCTGTAGCTTCTTTTGGGAAATTCCTATATGCCTATAACACTTGACTTAAAGTTTCATGTCAGTTTCTTGGCTTTGATTCAATGTGTTTTTTAATCACCTTGATCAAAATTTTATTTACTGCCTCCACTTGACCATTGACTTGGGCGTAATATGGTGTCAAAGTTAACATTTTTATATTCAACGATTCCGCATATTGAGATAATTTCTGACCAACAAAAACGGTTCCTTAGTCTGTTGTTAATGTTTTCGGTATTCTGAATCGATGAATTATGTATTCGTCAATAAAATTAACAACATCGTTCTGAGTAACTTCTTTCAATGGAATTGCCTCGGCCCATTTCGTAAAATAGTCCACAGCTACAAGGATGAATTTATGGCCTTTAGTCGAAGAAGGATGAATTTGGCCAATTAAATCCAAAGCCCAACCTCGAAAAGGCCATGGCTTAATTATTGAATGCAATTCTGAAGAAGGGACGTGTTGAATATTACCATGCTTTTGACATTCTTCACAGGATTTTGCTTATTCAAAAGAGTCTTTAACCATTGAGGGCCAATATAAACCTTCTCGAAATAACATCTATTTCATCCTTTCTCCAGCTTGATAGGCTCCACATATCCTTTCATGGATTTCTGCTAAGGCAATATATGCCTCATGTTTGCCCAAACATTGAAGCCAAGTTTCGTCAACACTTCGTTTATATAGTTCATCAACCAAAATTATATAATTAACTAGTCAAAATTTTGTTTTTCGATCAGTTGGAGTATTGGGATCTTTAAGATAATCGACCAGAGGTTTCCTCCAGTCTTGATCAAATAACTCATCGATGTTTAGGATCTTGAGATTTGTTGGTCCTAACTTTTCCCTTATCTCTGTTAATTTTGCTAGATTTTCACTCGAGATTTTGTATTTCGATGCAATCTGGGCTAATTCATTGGCCTCTTGGTTCTGGTTTCGAGGAACATATTCTAGAATGACTTTGTCAATTTTTTGTAATAGCTTGTTCGCTTTTACTCAATATTCGACCAGGTTTCTACTTAAGCATTTATATTTTTTGGTTAGCTGTTTTATTACTAACTCAGAATCTCCTCGAATGATTATATTTCTTACTCCAAAATTTAGCAACATTTCAAGTCTAGCTACTAAAGCTTCATATTCAGCCTCATTGTTTGAATAGACTGATTTTATCTCAAAGAGCAATTTAGTCGGGATTTCGTCGGGTGAGATTATTAATATTCCGATTCCAATTCCATTTTTGTGACTTGAACCATTGAAGTATAATTTCCATGACTTTAAATTTATAAAATCAACTTCTTTGATTGGAATCGAATGATCGACAACGAAATCGGTGACAACTTAGCCTTTTCAGATTTTAATGGTTTATAAATTAGAGAGTATTCTGTTAAAGCCAACGCCCATTTTTCAACTCTACCATGAAGAATAGGTTTCAACAAGAAATACTTTATTATATCATGATGTGAATAAACATGTACATCAAAAGGCCTAATGTAATATTTCAATTTTTCACAAGAAAAATACAGACACAAACATAATTTCTCGATTGGACTATATCAAGATTCTGCTCCTATCAACATTCGACTAAGGTAATAAATAGCTCTTTCGACACCATTTTTATCTTCTTGGGCTAGCATGCTCCCGATAGTCTTGTTTGATGTCAAAATATACAACTTCAAAGGAGAGCCCATCGTTGGCGGAACCATTACTGGTGGTTTTGTCAAATATCGTTTAATCTTCTCGAACACGGCTTGATGCTCCGCTTCCCATCAAAACTCTTCTTCTTTCTTTAACTTCAATAGGGGTGAGAAGATTTTAACCCTGCTAGAAAGGTTGGAAATAAATCTTCATAGAAAATTTATCTTCCCTAGCAATGATTGCAGCTGTTTTTTAGTCGAAGGTGTTTGTGTCTCAGATATTACTTTGGCCTTATTCTTATCGATTTCAATTCCTTTCTGGTGAACAATGAAGCCAAGAAACTGTCCTACAGTAAGACCAAAAGCACATTTTAGAAGATTCATCTTTAGGCCATATTTTCGCATTCTTTCAAATATTTGTCGAAGATGACAAAGATGATCATTTTTACACTTGG